ATGTCTTGAACTTTGTGACTTCTCCATGATATCTGTCACAGCAGTATTGATTTCTCCCTGTTTCTCTCCCTCTAAAACTGTCAGTAGATGCCTCCATGACATGGAAGGGTGTTGATGTTTAGCAATTTCATTGCTTTCTTTTTTTTTTGTATGGAGAGGCTATATACTACTTATTGGTAAAAGCCTTTTGGAAGCGTTTGGAGTATTGTTTTTTTTGTTGTTTTTTTAAACTAAACCTCTTGGAGAATATATATTCACATACACTTTAATGATCTCAGGCTTATTTCATTTGAACTATGAGATATGTAGGCTTTCTTTGTTAATGCTGATTGTCTGCTTCCAGAAAGCAGTTCCTAACATATAAAAACATGAGGTGCCATCCTCCAAGGTTTATTCCAGTAAAAATATAGCTAATAGATGTTATCTTTGTCCATGGCAAAAGTCATTGAATGGGAAAAGCTAGATTTAAAAGAGAAATATTCTAGTCAAATTAGTTCACCTACATGAAAGGAAAAATGCATCAGCGTGGCAGGAATTAGGCTGTTCGTCCTAACATTTTGTTGTGGTATTTCTGTTTGTCCAACCCACCAGTTATTCACTGGCCAGTTTCCAACCTGGATGGCTTGGTAATACCTGGACTGCTCTTTTGTGCTGCTATTGTTGCTTTCTTGTTTTTTTTTTTCAAATCATTCTCAAGAATCTCTGCTGTTCCCTTGAAACTTGTTTGATTGTATCGTGCCTATCTGCTTGCAGCCTGAAACTGCATGTCCATATCAGCTAATCTTGTTTGCCTGTCTCTAGGATGCTCTCTTCCTGACTGTTTTATATGCTCACTTGATACTCCTTGTTTATTCAGCTAGATATTGTTGATGTTCCTATTAGGATGGATCCTGACCCAACTAGGCTTATGACTGACTTTAATTGTGGCCGTTAATTGAAGTTTGTGACATATATTTGACTAACAAGAAGACTGAATCCTGTCAACTCAAAGGCTTCCATGAGTTTCCGGCTCTCTTGTTTATCAAGGAAAATAAATTCCTAAGCTGGAAGATAAATTGTAAAGATAGAGACATAGCTCAATATATCTTGACTGCATTATAAATTATGCCCAGAATTCTTAAGGCCTGTTTATACTGGTAGCAAACTTAGATTTTGAAGTAGTTCCCGGATGTTCAGTTGACAGGAACTTCCCAGTCTGTAACATGGAGTAAAACTGGTTAATATGATTTTACCCCACATTATAAAACATCGGGAAATGCTACTGAGTTTTGCATGTTGAGGTTAGTGTGGACAGCTTGATTGGCTCTAATCCAAACAGGTTCACTGTCCAGACAGCTCTGCATAATCACTCCCTTTTCACTGCACTCCATATCATAGGAAAAAAGGGATGAATCGGCAGTGTCACCTTGTCACTGCAGCAGCAAAGGTACTTGTGTCACCAGGGTAAAAGAGGGAGGCAATCCCCCTCTCCTTCTCCTAGGGACCTCATTACATTAAGTTGCTTAATGTGGGCAGCAGCGGGGGGATTCGCCAGTAATCGCAGCGGGGGAATCCGTTACCTTCCCCATTACACAGGGGAAAGCATCATTACTCAGCTTCCCCAGGCACTTACCCCATTGCTGGCAATGAAAACACGGGAAGCCTCCCTCTCTCGTACAACACTTTCAACACATCTCAGGGACGGAGCCCCACCAGAAGTAGCTGTATGTTATTTGGTGGTATCTGGTGGGTTCCATCCCAAACTGTGCTGAAAGCATGAAACAACAAGCAAATTCGCCCAGGTGATGAAGTCCTAGGTTGCATGAGCACTTTTGCTTTGCCCTAGTCTCAATTTTAGTGATATGTAGACGAGGCCTTAGTTCAATATACTTAATTAAGTAACTCCTCTTGGCCTAAACCCCCACCCCAACCTGACAAAAACATCATTCAGTCACTGGGTTGTTGTAGGCTTTTCGGGCTATATGGCCATGTTCTAGAAGCATTCTCTCTTGATGTTTCGCCTGCATCTATGGCAAGCATCCTCAGAGGTTGTGAGGTCTGCTTGCCATAGATGCTGGCGAAACATCAGGAGAGAATGCTTCAAGAACATGGCCATATAGCCTGAAAAACCTGCAAAAACCCAGTGATTCCAGACATGAAAGCCTTCGACAATACATCATTCAGTCATGTTCCAATCAGCATGAGTATGTAGTTCCTTCTCCCCTTTCACTTGATTCCTGGTATAGGGGGTTGTGGGTTGGGAGTGGAATTATGATCATGGCAATAGTGTCAAAATTGTGAGAATATGGAATGATCAACTAGATTTACTCATTGTTGGCTTTCATATTCATGACTGTTCCTTAGGTTTGGGTTTGGCTATGCAGACACTTGTTCCTATGAGGAACCCGCTGTGGGTGTCCTGATAGCTATTCTGCACTTCTCGGGCTGAGGTGGTTTTGAATGCTGGTTCTAGTTGGCATTATGTGGCTGTGTAGAACTGCCCTAATGATTTCGACATTATTGCCATGATTGTAACTCCCCTCTTTGCCTACTTAACTGCATCAGTAAAAGGAGATATTTTCTGCCAGTGATCAGAACATTGTTGAATTAAATTTCCACCAGGTTTTGGAATGGGGTGGGGTTGGTCTGAGAGAAATTAATTAAGAATACTTTAGTAGGTAGTTGATACAGAATTCTAGCCTATGTTTTCAGTATTGAAGGTTTTCTAAATATGACAATGTTCGCTTTCCTTGACATATTCAAACTAAGCAAAGCAATACCATTAAAGCAGATTTATACCAAATATTTCTGAAAATGGTTCATTTTAAGTACCGTATATAGCGGAGTGTAATGTGGCATTGATTGTAAGGTGCACCTCAATTTTGACTATGTAATTTGGACAAAAAAGGTGAACATTAGATTCCGGTAAATATGGTATGGTAGTAATTCCACTCATTTTAGTGCATACTTTTCTTTATTTGCTTGCTAACTTTATATATATATCCAGCAGTTACAGGCTTACATTTTTTGTCATGTTTACCTCCTCATGCATAGCTAAGCTGATCACTTGTTGCATAGAAGCAGCCTGAATGGAAAATAACAGCATTCTTCTTCTTGCCACTGGTTCCTCCGGCCTCCCCTAATCCTCTCTTAACTGTTTAAAAACAGTTTGTCTTATTGTACAAGTGAAGCACTGTAGTATGAATATTATTTTGGAAGCTCAAAAAAGGAGTGTGGGTCTTTTACACGGTGACAACTATTATGCAGTGAACTATGATATGACAATATCATTTACACCACCATATTTGTTCCTGCTCCATGGTTGGTGTTTTTTAAAAAACAACAACAACAAGTTGTGCAACTCCATAATGCTATTGAAATACTACCCCACTGACATTAGAAAAGATGAGCATACATCACTTCCATCATTTTTCCTATTCTTTCCCCCATAAACTTAGTAGTAACAGTGAGTGTGGTAAGCTTCTTATTTCTGCTTAGTATGCTGAAGATTGGAGAAAGTAGTGTAATTGATACTTAGCTCTAGGTAATTGGATTTGTTTCTGACACAGAGTGTTGTGGTCCTGGTATAAACAATATGGAGTAACTAATCTGTTAAGTTTCATAAATATGTAGTTTCAATGCAGGGAGCTACCATATTTCCCTGAAAATAAGACTGGGTCTGAATTGATATTAATTTGTGCTCCAAATGACACATTAGAGCTTATTTTCAGGGAATATCTTCTTTTTTCATGTACAAAAATCTACCTTTATTCTAATGTCATCTTCTTCTGGAAAATTGTCATAATATTATGTCAATAATATTACTTATTTATATTTATTTATTTAAAATACAATTATTTTATAGTTCAATACATTTGTCATGTGTTGCAATGGATGTGCTACCAGTAAACATATTTGGCTGGGTGACGTTTTTAACTGCGGCTTATTTTGGGAGGAGGGCTTAAATTATTTTGGGAGGAGGGCTGCTCTGGCCAGAGTGAAGACAGAAGGGAGCAGAAGACACTTCCATCTTGTCTTTTGCCTATATCATCACTTGAGAGGCCCCTCCTCCTTCTGGCACCAACGGCTGCTCTGGCCAGAGCGAAGACAGAAGGGAGCAGAAGACATTTCCATCTTGTCTTTACTAATAATATAATATAATATAGTATATTGTATATACATATAATATTTATAATCTTATAATGTAATACAATATAATACTAGTAATAATAATTCAATATTATAATTATAATTATATATTTACATTACATGTAATATTACTAATAATATTACAATATAATTGTATAGTGCAATATAGTAATATATACTGATATTGTACTAAGCTAATAATATAATATATTGTATGAAAATATATATTGTAAGCCGCTCTGAGTCCCCTTCGGGGTGAGAAGGGCGGCATATAAATGCCGTAAATAAATAAATAATGAACATTTTGGAAAATCATTCTAGAGCTTCCAGTTAGGGGAAACAGGGTAGAAAAGACATTGTAGAAGTTGCCAGATTCCAGTAGTCCTTTTTCGAATGCTTTGTTTGCTTGACTGAGTAGAATCATTGGAGTTTTTCTACTATGGCGTCTCTTCTCTTCTAGACTCTCCTTACTATTACAGTGCTGTAGCAAATTAAATTAAATTTATATTGAATATAAATTACATTTATATTTAATTTGTTATTATTATTATTATTATTATTGTTGTTGTTGTTGTTATTATTATTATTATTATTATATAATTTAATACATTTGTCATGTGTTGCACTGGATGTGCCACTGGCTGGTTCACAATTTTAACTGGGGCATATTTTGGGAGTAGGGCTTATATTATGAGCATTTTGAAAAATCGTTTTAGGGCTTATTTTTGAGTTAGGGCTTATTTTTGGGAAAACAGGGTAGAAAAGACACTGTAGAAGTTGTCAGATTCTAGGAGTCCTTTTGCTAATGCTTTGCTTGCTTGACTGTGTAGAATCCTTGGAGTTTTTCTACCATGGTGTCTCTTCTCTCCTAGGCTCTCCTTACTATTACAGCGCTGCAGCCCGTGGAGCAGCACCCCCGGCAGCCGCTGCTGCTTACGATCGTCACTGACACAAGGAACCAAGAGGCACTTACTAAACGTATCATGCCGGATGACATCCCTGGAATCATCTAGAATGCAACTGCAGAAATTGGACTACAAGGAAGGTTAAAAGAAAACATCCCCACAGACCCACACAATGATTGGATTGTTATTCTTCCAGCTAGGTGAACTGTGCATTACTTCCTGTTTTTCATTAATGAAATTCGAGTGACCTTAACTGAATCTCCATTTTTTAAAAAAGAGCAAACAAAGAATTGGTTTTGTTGACATTCCCAGTGGCTTTCAAGATACAGTAGCCTTGGGTTGCATACCGCCGTCTTGCTTTTGGACTGACTATATCTCCCTGATGCTCTTGGCCATGTCAAGGGAAGAGGAGCAGTTCTCAATGCTCAGCACTCTCTGTTGGATGTCTCTCTTTCCTGCAAATTGTAACCAGATGTGTGATCAAAATGGACCATATCGGTTGGGTTTCATTTTAAGAAAGGGGGCATTAAGGAAAAAGATTGGTCAGCTCAAATGACAAAGCACCAATGTAAATAACTTGCTTCTTTGTGTTACTGTAGAGTGGTTTAGCATCAAACACAGCAACGCAGACAACATGATGAATTTGAAACACATTGGAAAATATGTGTTTTGTTACTGGTGCACTGATTCCAAGAATTTAGTAAGCTTTAACACAACTCTGAACCAGGTTACCATTCATTGTGGCTATTTCTGGGGCTAGTGTTCTTTCTACATACATGACAGTCTAATATGTTCCATATGTTAGCACTGACCATATGAACAAATGACAAACATGGACAGCTAGTTCCACCTTAATTCCTGAATATTGATTTACAGGTATTTGTAACTCACACTCTCTGACTTTAAGTTGAAAGAAATAATTCCAAAAAACCGAAGCCTTATGCAGATTGAAATAGAAAATATGTAGAAACTGGTTGTATATGGCCCAAAAGTATTATTATTTTCATGAGCAGTGGTGAACCAAAACTAATATGAAAACTAGGCTAAGGTTAGAATTCGTGCAGTTGAACACCACTTAAACTGCCACAGCTCAATGTTATGGAATTGGTTGTTGTTTTACAAGGTTTTTTGCTTTCTCTGCCAAAGTGTGCTGGTGCCTCACCAAACTACAAATCTATATCATTGAGCCATGGTAGTTAAAGTCAAATTGCATTAACTCCACACTGCAAATGCACCCTAAGTCTCTCTTGATGTTATTTAACATGTTGGAGGTCCAGGGCCAATAGCTCCGTGCAACCCATCCATATGTTGAGCATTGACATAATTAACATCATCATCATCATCATCATCATCATCATCATTGATATCAGTTGAGAAGAATGTGCTCACTGGGTTGTTGTAGGTTTTTTTGGGCTATATGGCCATGGTCTAGAGGCATTCTCTCCTGTCATTTCACCTGCATCTGTGGCAAGCATCCTCAGAGGTAGTGAGGTTTGTTGGAACTAGGAAAAGGGGTTTATATACCTGTGGAATGACCAGGGTGAGACAAAGGACTCTTGGCTGCTGGAGCTAGGTGTGAATGTTTCAACTAACCACCTTGATTAGCATATTATGGCCTGACATTGTGTAGAGCAAACTTTTGTTGAGAGGTGATTAGATGTCTTTGTTTGTTTCCTCTCTGTTATTGTGCTGTTGTAATTTTAGAGTTTTTTTTAATAGCTCCAGCAGACAAGAGTCTTTTGTCTCACCCTGGTCATTCCACAGATATATAAACCCCATTTTCCTAGTTCCAACAAACCTCACTATCTCTGAGGATGCTTGCCATAGATGCAGGCAAAACGTCAGGAGAGAATGCCTCTAGACCATGGCCATATAGCCCAAAAAAATCTACAACAACCCAGTGATTCCGGCCATGAAAGCCTTCAACAATACAATGTGCTCACTCTTTAGATTCCATAATAAGTGGACTTCATCAGCTCCCATGGAAATCTACCCATTGATATCTTTCTCTTGTGGCCATCCATGCCCAAAATATGGATATTAGCATCCAACTCAAGAAGCAGTGTAGCCTTAGAGGCAGAGTTAGCAGCACTTCCTGCAGCTGTTTTAACGGTGTTAAGATTCTTACAAACTCAATGTATGAAAAGGAGGGGGAGGGGGATCTTATGCAATTCTGGTTGGAAATCTGTGTCATTTGGAATATTTGGAGAGCTCAAGGAAGACCTTTATAGGACACATTAAAATAATATGGGCCACCGGAAATGTTCTTACTTGAAAAGGATGTAATTCACCCAGAATAGGTTTGCATCATTTCTTGCGCAGATTTTCATCCTGATACATGAAAGGGGATTAATAGTCCTGTGGCATTTCATTCAATGTTCTATGCACCCTATAGGCACCGAATGAAGTTTACAAATGACAGCAAAAGATGGACATCAATCACTTGTGACGCCATAAATTTCCCTTAACTCAAAAAAGTCCATTTTAACCAGCATTTTTTTAAAAAAGCATGCAACTACGGATGGGCTTTTTGGACAAAAGGAAAACAGGAGTGGATTTAGCAGGCAGCTGTTAGCAGGGCCGTAGCCAGAAAAAAATTTCGGGGAGGGTTGACAATTTGGGGGGGGGGTTGAAAATTTCGGGGAGGGTTGAAAATTTCGGGGGGGGGGGGTTGAAACCTGCCTCCTAGCTCACGCTGAAGCAAAGAGCACAGCAGGGGGCAGAGCAACCTTCAATAGCCTGCAGCTCCGCCCCTGTCAACCACCTCCACCAAGTCTGGCCTCCTTAATGAGAGCATTCAACACACACACACCCAGACTTGGTTGCTTCACTACATCGGCTATTGCTGCAAGTAATGACAGTGTGAATAAATTGTCAATATTTGCTTGAGATAGTGCTTGCAGTTCTGGAGGGACTCTTAATTTTTTGCATCTCATAGACTTAGCATGGGGATTTGGTTAACCAGTTAAAATTCATGAGTAAACCAGGTTTTTAAAAAAATCTGAAACATTTCGGGGGGGGGGGGGTTGAACCCCTAAAACCACCCCCTCGCTACAGGCCTGGCTGTTAGTTCCCATGTAACTAGTAGTGGTGAACCTGTTCTGAGTTTAGTCTAAACTTTGAAAGAATTATCTGAGGTGAAGAATGTGGTCAAGGTGAACAAGGTTCAGCACTGTGATTAATTCCTTTAAATTTTGGAGTAAATATCGGAATGGATTAACTGCCCTACCAAGTACCATTGGAATTCTGATGTTTAGCCAGGAATCTAGGTCTATCCTTAACATCTTAATGGTGTTGGTAAGAAGAGAGAACCCCACTGGAAGGAGTAGGCTTAGCTTCCACCCAACAGATAGCCATTGCCCCCCTTAAACTACTTTCCTTGTGCTATTTTCCACTTGCTAAAATTTCCTGATATGTATTGGACATGGCTGGAAGTAAATGGTAGCCATGTTAGTCTTCTAAAACAACAAATGCTGAGACAGGAAAAAATTATTATGGCTCAAGCTTCCATGTGTTTCATTCCATATTATGTTTATGCCGTGCTACATCTGCTGGTCTTTCAGAACCATAAGACTTTAAAAAAAAATCTAGCAATTCTTTAGCCATGTTGATGAAACTGGGTCAAGCTATAGCTAGAGAAGATTCTGAAAAATGTGCTTATTTGAGGAATTAATGGAATTCTGGCACCAGCCCCCCCCCCCCCCCCCCCCCCCCGGCCACCTTACCATATGATGAAGAGAACAGCTCTCTGTGGGACCCTTCTAGAGATGTTTTAATGACAGTATAGCAGCTCCGCTCTTTCCAATCAAGAACATTATTGAAAGAATCCTGCTGGTGATGAAAGAAAGGTTAGTTGCAACTAGCTCTAGGCCTGAAACCACCAACTCTAGAAAATTCCTTCCAGTTTTCATATCTGTTGAATATTGATTGGCCACTCTCAAAAGATTTGGAGGTGTGACTCTATTTTGATAAGCCCTAGAAAGAGTGGATGCTTATCTGAAACATCTCCAGTTCTTTTGAGGTTTATTTTTGCTTCTCTTTGTCGGATCTCAAAGATTTTTTCCAGTGAGCTACATTAAATATAATGGGTTGAACCCCTGACATTTGTTGGGTCTATTCCAATCATGAATTACACTTAGAGTTAGACCCACTGAAATCTATAGGACTTTTACTCCATTCACTGCAGCAGTTCTGCTCTAGGCATGCCTTAGGTTGGATCTACACTGCCAAATAAGGAAATTTGAACTGCATTCCAAGTGTAGACTCATGTAATGTACTTCAGTGCAGTACAGACTGCATTATATGGGTCTACACCAGGTATGGGCTAACTTTTTTTGCCTTGGGGCTGCATTACGGGCCTGGCTGGGAGGACCAAGTCAGGAGGGAGGGGGCTAAGCCCGTGCTGGGTGGGGAGGGCCTGGGAGAGGGCAGGGGCAGGAGGGGGCAGAGCAGGGCGCAGGCCATCCTCAGGTTATCCTCCCAGCTGCTCGCCCATCCTTATGCTGGGAGGAAGGTGGGAAATTTGGCAACTGCCCCAATCTCTCCCTGCCCCCCTCACCATCCTCCTCCCCGATCCTTGGGCTGTCCTCTTGGCATTTTTCTGGGAGGAGGGCGAGACAAGTGGCACCTCTCAGCCACTGTGTGCCTTCCTCGAGCCATCCTCCTGGCATAAGGATGGGGCCGCTTGCACCATCCTTATGCTGGGAGGAGGACGGGACACACGGTGGCTGAGAGCACTCCAGAGGGCTCTTAGCTGCTACATGTCTTCCTCCCCCATTTTTTGGCATAACCAAGAGGACAGGGAAAATGAGAATGGCCTGAGGTATGCATCCAGGGGCCGCATCTGGCCCCCGGACCTTAGTTTGCCCATGCCTGGTCTTCACTGACCATGTAATGCAGTTCAAACATTATTTAGCAGCATGGATCCAGCCTTGGTCTGGATCCAACCCGTCATTTCTCTGAAAGAAAGAAAAAATGTATCTCATATTCTAAAGTCCTAATTTGAAGTCACTGTTACCCTAGTTAGGATTGTTTTATAGCAAAAAATATTGACATTTTCCAAGCAATCTATACAGAATATGTAAAACAGAACTTGATGAATCTCTTTAATTTAGAATCTGAATTCTCAGTTCCCTCACAAGTGTTTTGTGCCAACATTTAAGCTTTCATTCTGTAAAAAAGGAAATTAACTTTTCGAATAAAACGTTAGGCAAAATAAACGTGGGTTAATAATTCTATATAGTAAAATAACCAGTGTTATTTCACTGATATCCAAGCACACTGCCTATGGGGTTTCCCTTGTTCTGGAAGAGCAGCGATAGTTTAAACCATGTCTCCATATTTTATGGCTGTATTTACAGCCGCACTGATTAAAGACTGTCTTGAGCATGTGATTCAATGGATTCACTTGATGTGTTTTGTCATCAGCCAAACACATCAAGTGAATCCAGCTGACTCTTTCTCTCTACTCCATTTTCCCTTGGAATAAAATTAAGAGTTGGCCCCTAAATTGACATATTTATTTTTTTAGGTCAGACTGCAATTTAATACAACTCTTTTCTGGTATTCATGCAAATGGCAAGCTAAACATTTGGAATAATCAACAGCCAATTTTAATTGCTATATACAAAAGGTGACATTTTTAGTGTAAATTGAACCCTCCCCCTTCCAAAGGATTCAAACCATTATAGCTGGCATTAATGCAGCTTAGCATGAAAAACAGCCAGATAAAACATAGATCATGCAAGACATGCTACCAGAAATGTTTCCATTTGTTTGGTCATCAGATAGTGCTTCCTGTGCATCCTTTCCGAATACCATCATGTATGCTGGCTTTCGGCATAACCAGCACAACAATATGAACAATAGAGCATTTTTATGGACAATGTATGGTGGAACTGTGAGCCACATATATACATGCACACATATGCTTGCGCATACAGATTCCCTCAGAGCTGACTCAAACCAGCCTTTCCCCCAGTTCGTTTCCCAAGTCCACACTGACAATGTTAGGGATTTTTCTCTCGGTGTTGTAAGGCAAAACCCATGAGTGAGCTGGCATACACACACATTATCACTTTGTGGTTTTTTGTATCAGAAGGCAATTAGGTTTTTTGGGCTGTATGGCCATGTTCTAGAAGCATTATCTCCTGACGTTTTGCCTGCAATTACAGGCAGTCCCCAAGTTACAAACAAGATAGGCTCTGTTGGTTTGTTCTTAAGTTGAATTTGCATCTAAGTTGGAACAGATACATTTTAAAGTATTACTCTATCTATTCCTGTTCAGAAGATTTCAACTTACTTTCCATCCCTGTGATTAATTGGATTTTGAAAAAATTGGCTTGTTGTGGAAACATGGATTGGTGAGAAAGCTTTAGTGGAGACACCTTTTCCCATAATAACTCTTTCAGGAGTGGATTTCCCTTCCTAT